AATATATATATATATATATATATATATATATATATATATATATATAGAAATAATAAAATTCGGCCTCGATCGATATCGAACGAAGTGGAGAATCATCGAGAAGGATAAAGATCGTATATCGTATCGATGAACCGACGCTTCCTGTTTCCCCCCTCCCGTAGGCAAGTGTTGGCACACGTACGCACGATCCCGGAACTGATCCTGCTCGGCAGCGGCTCGCAGAATGTTAAGAGGCTGCCGATCTTCTCGTTCATGGTTCGTCACCCGCGGGGCACGTTCCTTCACCACAACTTCGTGTGCGCCGTGTTGAACGACGTGTTCGGTATACAGGCGCGTGGCGGGTGCGCGTGTGCCGGCCGTTACGCTCACGACCTGATGGGGATCGACCAACAACTCGCCAAGGAATACCAGAAAGCTTTGATAGAGGGGTGAGTAGCTCTCGTATCGATTCTCTCGCCAACCTAGATTATATGTATATATATACGAACGTAATTTTATCGCAGGGAGCGGAACACGGAGAAGAACGAGGAGACGAACGCGGAGGGTTTGAGGCCCGGATTCGCGAAACTGTCGTTCCCCTTCTTCATGTCCGAGGCGGAGGTCGCTTTCGTTCTGGAGGCGTTGAAAATGGTCGCGACGGAAGGGTGGAAATTGTTGCCGCAATACGTGTTGAACCCGGACACGGGCGAATGGAGGCACCACACGAACAGCGTGTTCAAAGAGCGAAAGTGGCTGAGCACGATCAGATACACGGACGGGAAGATGAACGCTTCCGAGAGGCGGGTATCCGGCACCGGTGTGCTACCCCAGAACTACGGCGATTGTTTGCAGACGGCGCGTAACATCTTCAACAGGGCGAGGAAAATGGCGCAGAGGTATCCGCTCCAGATAGACCGTAGCTACAATTTCGCGTCGGAACGGTTCGAGTCCCTTCGATGGTTCATGCTGCCATGCGAGGCGCAGGATCTCCTTCTGGGCAACTCGCAGAACGTGAAGCAAGACGTGCCTTTCAATCCGATCCTCTCCTGGAACAAGCATCACGGCCACCACACGCCGACCACCACCCACGACAGCCTGCTCAATTCCCTCGCCCTTGCAAACAGTATCCGCCGATTGAACAGCGACATCCCCCGCACGGGAAACGTCCCGATCTCCCCCAATTCGCCCAGACATCGAAGCCTTCCCGCGTTGAGCTCGGCCAGGAAGACGCTGTTGAACGCGACCGAGTTCCACCGTCACCCGTCCCCCTCCTCCGGCCCAGCCAGCGGATCCAACGAGGAGGAGCATCGTCGCCCGTCGTCGTCGACCGTGGAGACGGATCGAAACACGGTCGTCGAGCCGAGCAAAGGTCAGAGATCGCCCGCCACTTGCCCGAGCTCGCCGACTCCGGTGAGATTCGCGGTGGGCGAGGCCGTCACCCCGTCGGCCCTGGGCGCGATGCCCATGTCGGGCAACAGGCCTGGCAAGGAGCTGATGATGCACGAGGCCTCGAACGCGGGCCGAGTCAGGTGCAACTCGCTCGGCAGTACGAGCGGCGGCGCGGATCCCGCCAATCGAAACGTCGCGTCCTCCTCGTCCTCCCCGATCCCCCCGCTCCCCCTCAGCCCGCAAACGTTGACCAGCCTCGGCCTGAGCGGGAACAACGGCAACAACTACTCGAAGCACAGGCGCCACCATTGCAGCTGCAGCAGCCAGACGGATTTGAACTCGTTGGAGTTGGACAACGGGAGCCCGAGCCACTCGATCTTGTCGTTGAATTGTCACACCGCCACCTCGCCCCCCTCCTCCTACTCGTCCGTTAGCGATTACACGGAGAAGTTCGTGGGCGGCGGCAGGTCGTCCCCGATCTCGGGGAACGGGGGCCAAAGGTCGGAGGACGATCTGAGGGCTTACGTGAAGGAGATGACGAAGGAGCTCGCGACCGAGATCAAGTCGGAGATACGGGAGGTGATCTCGAAGGTGGACGACGCCCTGTCGGAGACGAACACGTCCGAGAACACGCCGCAGCATCACTCGAGGAATCTGGCCGCGGTCGGCCAGCTCTCGGTCGAGGAGAAACAGACGAGGCACGATTCGTTCACGGCCAGCGACATCGCGGAATACCTGATGGAGTTCTCCAAGGAGATGGCCAGCGAGGTCAAGTCGGAGATCAGGTGCATGGTGAACGCGGTGGACGGGTTGCACAGGCACTCGCCGGACGCGTCCGCTTCCGACGTTTCCTCGAACGGTTGCGGCTCGCCCGACCGGGCGGGGAGAGGAGGAGGAGGAGGAGGGATCGTGCAAGCGTCCGCCAGAATATCGGCCAGGCGAAGCGGGCCGATAGAGATCTCGGGGAAGGTGGGCGAGTTGACGCAGCAGGAGAGCAAGATGTCGAGCGAGTGCTCGTCCGACGAGACGGTGATATACGTGATGAAGCCGGCCGAGAACGAGCAGGTGGTTCGCAAGCGGTCGAAAACGGACGACGCGGAGGAGCACGCGGTCCACGACCTCGACGACGATCTGAACGACGACGATTCCCAAGAGCGGGCATGCTTGGAGATAGGGGACGCGAGAAAGGTGCTGCCGAAAATCTACTCCGCGGTGAACTCGGTCAGCTCCCAGGACAGCGGTATCAATCTGTCGTTTCACGAGAGCGACAAATCCCTCGACTCGATGGATTTGAAGCGCAGCAGCAGCGCCGAGTCGAACTCGACCAACAGTTACGGCCGCAAGCCGAGGACTTGCTCGATGACCGCGCTACCGTCCAACAAGTCGAACAGTTGCAACAGGCAACAGGCGGCCCGTCAGAACGACGATTTCTCCGAGGACGAGGAATGCTCGAGCAACGACTTGAAGGAGGAGGAGGACGGGGACGCGGCTAGTTCGTTCGGGACGAAGGAGGATGGTGGTGGAAAGGTGGAGGCGTGCCGTGCCCAGTGGCATTGCCCGCCGAAGAACATATGGAAGCCGGCCGTCGAGGCGATGCAGGAGTTCGACATGATCCGGGACAACGATCGGGTGCTGGTTTGCTTGTCGACCAATTGCAAGAGCTCCCTCTCCTTGTTGCACGCGTTGCACCAATACCGGTTCTACGTCAGGTCGAAGGGGTCGACTTCGAGATCGGCGCCGCGACCGTGGACCCGAGCGGATCCAACCCCGTGGAACTGGCCGGCTATCTCAAGAGTTTGAACGTCCCTTACTTCCACGAGGAGCGGGAGGAGGAGGAGGGGGAGGAGGAGGAGGAAGAGGAGGAGGAGCAGCAGCAGCAGCGGAGCGAGGAGGGGAAGCGCAACAGCGGGGGGTTGGAGGAGGGGGTGGACGCGAGCGGAGCGTGCAGCTTTTGCGATCGTGGGACCAGGGCGCAGTTGTACGCGATCGCCAAGCGACACGGTTACAACGTTCTGGCTGTGGGCCAACACTTGGACGATCTGACCGAGGGTTTCCTCGTCTCGGTGTTCCACGGCGGCAAGCTGAGAACCATGAAAGCCCACTATTACATTCGCCGTCAAGATCTGAGGGTCGTGCGCCCGTTCGTTTACGTACGGGAGAAGGCGTTGAGGCAGTTCGTCGAGACCAAGAAGCTGTTGGTCTCGCGGGGAATCGGGTCGAGCGACCTTCCCGAGGTGAGCACCCCCTCTTCTCTCCGATTTTATTTATTTATATCTCTACCTCGTCCACCTCGTCTTTAATTAGACGCGATCGATAATTCTCTCGCTCTTGACCCCCCCCCCGTTGTTCTCAACGTTGTTCGATCGTTGTTGCAGAAGCAGAAACGAAGCAAGGAGCTGATACTTCAACAACAAGAGCGCGCTTACCCTCGCCTCTACTGGTCCCTGAGAACCGCTCTCCGGCCATTGATCGACGCCCACGAGCAACAGATCGATCTGGACCTCGTCTCGCCCGTGGTGAACACGCCGGGGAGCAGTTCGAGCGGTTCGAGCAGCGGTTGCTGCAGCTTGGCCGTGACGGCGACCAACAACGGCGGTGGGCAGCAGAAGAGGCAGCAGCGAACTCGAGCGAAGGCGAATTCCTCGATCTCGTCGGTGACGTCGGGCCAGTGGCAGGCGGCGGGGCAGCAGGACGAGAACGAGGAGACGGACGAGGAGCCGGTCCTTTGAGGGAGACCCGTCGCGAGATGGGATTTCAATCGTGATTCGATCTCATCCTCGCATCGCCGTCGAAAATTACCGTCATCGGCGTTCTCCTCCGTAATCAGGAGGAGGAGAATGCGTTTCGCCGCCGCGGCCAAGATTCCAAATCCCGAGGGAGGAGAATGCTAAGGGAGAGGGGAGTGAATCGATGATGACTCGTTGTTTCGGGAACACCGTCGATCGATCTGATGATGAAACGAAACGGCGCGTGTCGCTCATTCGAACGCGTATTCCTCATCTTCCGGACTCTCAAGGATCTCGTTAGGCTGTTCTTCTCCCGCCGCACCGAAACTTCCTTCGATCGATCGTTTGTTCGAACGATCGAGAGGACCGCGTTCCATCGGAGATCCTTCAAATTTTCTCCAATCGGATTAGACCTCTGATTCCGGTTTTACGCGGTTTCTCTATTTCGGTTTCGCGAACATGCTCTTAACGGATCGTTTCGTGAACGTTTTCGTTTCACGCCTTGAGCGTTCTCCAAAAAAGGAGAGAGAGAGAGAGAGAGAGAAGAACGTCGATGCACGAAAATAGAGATATATATATATATATATATACATGTATACATATATATATATATATACGAGTATATATTACTCGTTCGACGCAACGGACGCAACGACGGATCGGATTTTTTTTTTTTTTCTTCTTCTTCTCACGAAGTGGTTGTTCCGTCGAGGATGTATGAGAACGAGTACCGTCGTCGCTGTTCGTTCGATATCTAACGATATCTATACAATTGCTTCGTAAAAGCTACTTAAACAAAACGTTGTGCGCGGTTTAAATGTTACTTACGTAAGGACACTTATGTTAGCGTTTAAAAAAATAACCAACCAACCAACCAACATGTTGAGACTTCGGTTGTACTTTACGAGTTCAGAGCACGCGGGACCTTTGTGGTAGCTAGACACACCGGATTCTCGTTGGAATCGATTTTTTCCCCGATTTCCCGAGGAAGGTGAAAGAATTCGAATCGAGAAAGAAAAACGGATGAAGTCCCGAGGAAAATGGTTCGGATTCGACAGGCCAAGGAAATTTCGGACTTGGGAAATTTTTGACGGAGAAACGGAAGAAACGAAGAGGGGAAACGAAGTGGTGACTACTTGAGAAGCGCCAAAACCTCGACTGCTCAAGGGACCGCAATTTTAGCGTAAACGAGAGGAGGACACTTGATTTTTTATATTATAATTGTGATTTGATAAAACGAACGAGCCTCGTGTCTCGCAACGGTGACGAGTTAGGGTTAGTCGCATAAGAAATTACCAAAATTTTTGTAAAATCTCACACCCGCGCTCACACCCGAATCGAGAACGAGCCTCATTTTTTCGAGCATTTTTCGATGAATTCGAACGTGATTGTTCGCCTTGATGTCTTTCAATTACGGGGGAGGAGAGAGAAAGAGAGAGAGAGAGAACGAAAAGAATTTGAAAAATGACACGATTTTGTTCGAATCGATAGGACGTTCATTTTTTTTGCGGTCAATAAAAATATCGTCCTTGACGATTCGACGATTGCGCCATTAATTGATTAATTAACTAATTACTGCACGCGGCGGAAACC